GCAGCAAAACATTTCGTTACGCAAGTTTTTGTCTAATCATTTATGTAAATCTCTTATTTTACATTTATTATACTTGATTATACTAATTCGGAGGCATTGAATTATTTCATTATGTTAGTGATTAGAATTAGTCGATGACGTCTAGGGGCTAGGTATCGCGTCATTTACCCAATATATATTTCAAACGACTGCGAGTTTTGTTGTCAATGTCAATCATGAATGAAGAAATAAAGAAGAAAAAGGCGTAGTTTAGAATATATACAGAGGTGACACGATTAATCAGCTTATCAAACGAAGTTTTAGTGTAAATATAATTCGACTTTTTAGCTCGTAGGTTTTCCGCCGGGCAACCTTCAGTCTCAATTATGCAGCAATGACAATCTCCTAGGTTTTGATAATGTGCTACCAATTAAACTAGGGGTAATTTCCTTGACGCAAGTTTTCGCCGGAAGGCTCGGAACGTATGTGGAGTCCGGCTAGCTAATCCTTACAATCGAAAAATGAAATTATAAAAATAATTTGGAAATTAATAAACTGAACCCTAAAAATGAGAATGGATTTCTCTACATATATTAGAGGGTAATATTATATTGAATAATTATCTGTAAGTTCGTATGAGTAGTTTAATTTAGTGAGTTGTGTACACGTAAAGGTTGCTTCAATGGAAGAATTCAAGATATATAGAAAAAATATATTGAACTGGTTGGTTCAATTAACTAAGGTAGAGAGAGACATTTAATTTAAATATTTCTGTCAATGTGTTTTTGAGTGTGATCGTATCATAAAAATTAAAATGCAAACTATATATATATCAGCAGTCAGCTTCATATAAGTTGACATGCACTTGGTCACTCTTGCGTCTTCACAATAACTTTGCATTTACAAATTAAAGCTACGATCATGAAATAAATAAAAGTTAAATTACGGCCAATTAAAATCATTTGGATCTTCTTATTGTTACTTTAATTCGCTTCTACTCCTCTTCCATGATTAACTAAGTAGTCGGACTTTATTTGATGTTTGGTATCCTCTATAAATTGCCGGGTCGACCCGCCAAAATTATATAATCACGGCTTATCTTGTCTTATCTTGGCTTATCTTGCCTTCTAATGAGTTTTTTTTGTTAGACATTTCAAGCTCCAATAACATAATTGGGTTTTATTAGATTATTTATTCTTATCTTGGCAACCAAATGGGGCCTTACAGTATTATTATTAGGCCCTCGTTTGGTTGCCAAAATAAGATTAGTCAAGATAAGATTAAATAATTTAATGAACCTTAATTGCATTATTAGATCTTGGAACGTCCAATAAAAAAAAATATGACTATAAGGCAAGATAAACCATGATAACATAATATTTGCGAGTCGACCCGGCAAGTTATTGGGATAGTATACCAAACATTAAATAAAGTCCAATTATTTACCAAACGAGATCTTAGAGTACAAACTGAGATTATTAAATTCCGATGGGATAGCAGTATGAAATGAAATATTAACTTAAAACAAAAACATTTTTTCAGATGTGTTTATAAACAGTAATATATATATACGCGCACACACAAACACACACACACACAAAAAGGCTGGTTAGAAAAAAAGAAAAAAAAAAAAGAAATCTTAATCGGAAAGTTCACATTCTATAGATTTATATATTACAAATGGCACTTTTGTCTATGCAAAAGTAAAAAATAAAAAAATATATAAAAATAATAAATTAGCTAGATCATGTGAAAGTACAAATTCATTATGCAGGTAAACATTTATAAATTAATACAATTGAGATCATCAAAATTTTATTAATTTATCAAAATATTAAATTAGCGACTATATGCAATTATTCTCTATATCTATCTCTACCAACTTTAAAATCATGAATGTTTTTTTGTTTTTAGAAAAATATTTTTGTACTTCATATTATGCCCCTTAATTATGATAAAGTTATACCTTTAATTAGCTTGGGTCAATTTTGTAACAACAATAATGAAAAAAATTTAACATAGCTTAATAAAATTGTATTTATTAAACTTTTCAAATCATTTTCTCAAAACAATTTAAAAAATTCTCCTTCCTTCAGACATGAGGTGACTGCTAGGAAAATGATTTGACTGCTACAGTAAAATATGTCTTCACTAAAAAACAGATAAACATCACTTCATCTTTCAATTTTTTTCTTCTAAAATACTTTTTTCTAACACCTTTAAACATAATTTGACTCCTACAGTGTATTTTGTATCCTTCCAAAATATAAACAAACATTACTTTAATTCTCAAATTCTTCTCCCAAAACATATTTCCTCAAAATGAAATCAAAATAAGTTCCAAAATGCTTCCAAACATTTCCAAACAAGTGTTTTCATATAATATATTTATACTAAGGTGAGAGTTTTTTTTTTTTTTTTTTTATTGTAATTCTTTCTACACATTGAAAATTTGGATTCAATTTACTTTGAATGAAACTACATTTGAAGAACTTTCCAATGATATATTATAAGCATATATATGTAAAAATTTATTTTAAAATAAATCATTTGCTAAGCTAAACATTAGATACCTAAACTAGTTTCAAATTTTAAATTAATTCTTATATAATTTTTATTGCGAATGTTCAAAAAATATGAAATTATAATAATGTAAATTCAAACTAATTACTATTTACAAAAACCAGTAATAATATTTATATTTATGATATTAAAAATATGATTATATTTTCATATATAATAATTTCTTTCAAAAGTTGATGTTTATTTTCTTAAATTTATTTACCATCCTTATTTATGCATTTTATTAGTATAAGTGATAACATGATTTAACCATAGTCAATCATGTAAAAAATAAAAGAAAAAAAAATCTAATACGTTATATAAATAATAATGTATATTACGCACTTTTAGTAATATAAATTTAATGTCAAGGACCTGTTAGTATAAAATTTGTTAAAATTTGTACTTTTTTTGTTATCGTAATCATTTTTATACATTAAATTCAACAATATTTTTTTCTTTAAAGTTACATTTCAAGAGTTTTCCAATGATTATAATATCACAAGTACAAAAAATATGATTAATGTTAGTACAATATATGTTTAAAGTTCGTATTTTTTTTGTTCTCGTAATTATTTTTATACATTAAATTTCAACAATATATTTTTCTTTAATGTTACATTTCATGAGTTTTCAATGATTATAATAATATCATAAGTATGTATATAAATAAGTGACACATAAAAAACAACTTTTCATTTTACGTCGAGGGCTCCACGTTTAATGTAGTTTCAATCTTTAGATGTAATAATTAGTCTTATTATGCAGTTAAGTAAATTTTATAAGTACCATAATGTAACTCAAATATTAATAAAAGAATATTAGAAAATAACTTATGAAAAAAAATAGTTAAGTAATAGATGTGGATGACATTGAGGCTGTCAATATAATTTTCCCAACATTTGGTAGAGGTAAGAGTATAATTTTAAAAGGGGCTTATTACAAATAAATTCATCATGGACTACTTATTTATAATGGGGTCCAGACCAAAAACTCTTATAAAAAAAATTCAGACAATGTTCATACTGTGTAGAAGACTAAAATACCTTCTTATATTTTAATATGCTCCAACTTCATAATTTAATCCAATTTAACCTTAATATGACCTCAATTTCCCAAATTATTCAATTTAGACTCCTAACCCAATTTTGATCGGTCAACCGCCGGTCTCCGGCGTTGACTTAAAAAAAATTATTCCTTAATTTTTTGGCCCGTTTAAACAGTAATATTAATGTGGTTGACATCAATATTAAATATATTACTATTTAACACAATAATATTGTTATATTACTCTCTAGCACATTAATATTAACACAAAAAACTCACTATTATTGTGTAATACAGTAATATTAATATGTTGACCGTTCAACAAATTAAAGACAAACATAATAAAATGCTAAAAAAATAATATTGATGTACTGGTTGACAGTTATATTACGTCGTCAACCACAGTAATACTATCGTGTTTACAGTAATTTTACCATCAACGACAATACTATTTCAATAGTAGACAGTAATATTACTTTGACGATCAACAAATCAAACAAAATAAAACGGCAAAAAAATAAATGATGTGGTTGGCAGTAATATTATTGTGTTTACAGTAATTTTACTGTCAAAGACAATAATATTATTACGTTAACCGGTCAACAAATCAAACAAAATAAAAGAAGTTAAGAAAGATATTGATGTGGTTGACAGTAATATTATTGTATTTACAGTAATTGTATTGTCAACGACAGTACAATAACTATAAAGTGACAACGGCCACAGGAAAAAAAAAAAAGTTAACGCCGGAAACCAGCTGCTAAATAAAAATCAAAAGAAAAAAAACAAAATTAAATTTTTGTGGTCAAAATTGATGAATTTGAAGTTAAATTGGGGTTACAATTAGGAATTATGTTTAAATGACTGCCGTAATTTTGTCATATACATTAAGTTTGCCTTTATTTATAATACATATTAAAGGGATGAGCTTATTAGCGAAAGAGATATATCCCATCAACCTAGAATAATAAAGATGGTTGGTGAATGACCTATGCATAAAAACCGCTTTTGAAAACGTCTAGGGTAAATTACAGCCACCCCACTGAGGTAAGGTCAAATTACGAAAAACCCCTCTTACTTACATAATTACAGTCACCCCCTGAATATGTATTATCTTATGAAAAAATCCCTCTAGTTGGTAAATTTAGTGGCGTTCATTCGGTAAAAAAATTGTACCGAAATTTCGATATGTCAAAATTTCGTACCGTTTAGTGTTCGGTTCGGTAAATAATCGAATTACCAAAATTTTATATATTACATAGGGCTTCTAAAAATTTTCGAATGAGTACGTATTATAGCATAAATATAGCAAATTATTAATTATTATTTCTGAGTCGGGACTGAAAAAATATTATTTCAACAAAAATATAATTTATCTGGATATTAATTTATCGAGGTTCTACAGGTGTATCTATTTGTTTAGATCATAATGTTTTATCCAAAATTCTAACAAAAATGTGAAGGCAACTACTAAAGTTGGATATGGGGTGTATAGATTAAAATAATATAACAATTAATTATACAAGGTCTAATTGTAATTAACCGTTGAAAATATGAAAGGGATAGTGGTTGGATTCTGATTGGGTAATAATGAAAGGAGGTTACTCCTCCAAAAACCCTATAAATAATACAAGTTGAAGAGCATGTATGTATAATTTGAAGAGCAATATATAGATTCATAAAAGTAAATAATAAAATAATGGATGCAAGTTCATCATCGCAGCCGAGGAGTGTACGGCATACCACCCATCCCGGACACCTACTCAAGCTCGTCTACGACCCAGACGAATTCGTATGCGACGGTTGCGATGGGCTAGGGTCCGGGTCCAGTTACAGCTGCTACCCATGCGGTTTTAACCTCCACGAATTCTGCGCCACGTGTCCGTCCACCACCGAATCGGTCTTCCACCCCAGGCACCCACTAACCCTAGTCAACCTGCCGATGGTGAACAACCGGGTCTGCGACCTGTGCGGGGACTACGTGTGTGGGCTCTTCTACACGTGCCGCCCGTGCGGCTTCGACGTGCACCCGCTATGCACGCAGCTGCCCGTCCACGTGAAACTCCCGATGCACCGCCATAGCTTGAAACTGAAGCCAGGAGCCGTGACCGCTTGTGATCTCTGCGATGAAGATTGTACCTCTTGGAGGTACAGCTGCGGTAATTGCCAAGTTGATATCCACCTCGAGTGTGCTCTTGAAGATGACGATGATGATGAAATCGTAGAGCCGCCGCCGCCGCCGCCGCGGAAGGCGGTTTCTGGTGGCTATTACCGTGAGCCGCCCCCGATGTCGATGGGGTACAACAATCAATATCGGCCGCCGCCTCCGAGGATGGGGTACAACAATCAATATCAGCCGCCGCCTCCGAGGATGGGGTACAACAATCAATATCAGCCGCCCCCGCCGAGGATGGGGTACAACAATCAATATCAGCCACCGCCGGGGTGCAGTCAGCAGTCACGGAGGGTTATGCCGGCTGAACGGCAGAAAAGTAGCGGAAACAAAAAGAAAAAGATTTATTCTATTGTGGGTAGGTTTGCCCTCAACACATTGGCAACTTCCATTACTGGAATTCCCATGGGCTTCTGATTTCATACTGGTGTGTCGTGTGTGTGCGCGCGTGTGTGTATATATAATAATGTTTTACTTCTACATGTTCAAGAAAAATAATGATGTATTCAAAGAATCCATCTAAATTGTGCATAATTGCGTGTATATGCGACACGTACTGTAGAAGATTTGTAAGTCTTCTTTTACGTGGTACGCTTTTTGTGATTGAATCTTGTGATTTGTATCACTCTCATTTTTTATGTGAGAGGTTTTATGTTTGATTTTCATGTGTGTGCAGTGGGTGTTTTGTAGGTGACATTCTTATTTGATCTTATGGTTAATTAGGGAGGCTCCTTAAAACATGTTTATAAAAAGTATTGGTTCAATCTCCTTTTGTCAATATTCCCTTGTTTGATTTTTATAATTATCTTAAATTTTAATGTTGTTGATATATAAAAGACTTATATCACAATGCACATCAGTGAAATTTTCAATAACTGCACGATCTAAATAGGATATCAACTCTATAAAATTTTCGGAATATTGCATCGTTTTGAAATGGAAGATCCTTTTTGGCGACATCTGGTCGATTGCACACTGTTCATTTGTTGTGCTGAGATCTTAATTGCTATGGTTCAACAAGCGGTAATTGGTGAAGAATTGCACGGGATCAAAATCGCTCCGACGGGGCCCATAATATATCAAATCTTTATTTTGCGGACGATACTCTTCTACTCTGCCAAGCTTGCGAGGGGATGCTCTGACCTTCAGCGAATCCTCGACCAATATGCCCAAATCTCTGACCAAGAGATGAATTTCGAAAAGAGTACAATGTGTTTTAGTCTAGCTACACCTTTGGAGGTTAAGGAATCTATTAGAATCTATTTGGATTCTAATATTAACAAACGTGTCTGACTTGTCAAACACTCTGATGCGATCTCTTGTGTATCATAAGATTTCTTTACTGAACGTAAGAAAACTCTTCTTTATTATTTCTCTTCATAATAAAACCCTAGCACAATACGACTATTTAAAGAGAATAAAATCCTAGAATCCTAATCTAACTAGGAAAGATAATTACCTATCCTAATAAAATACTTAATATCTATCCTAAATACTAAACACACGGTAACATAAAACTACCTATACTACTTTAATTAATTAATAATAATAAAATACTAACTAAACAATAAATAAGTAATATATTAAATTATATGTCGTATCAAACCACCCCTCTTGAAATGAACCTTGTCCTCAAGGTTCGAGTCAATTTGCGTTTCCACCTATGTTTGACTTCATCGACTTGCTTTCCGATTGACTCCGACTTTGACTCCGAAAAACATGATGAACGATCAAGATCTTTACCACACTGTTTATGTTGATCGAACGAACTCCTAACGGCTTTTGGAAAGATTCTCAATATTTTTCCCGATAAATAAGCCTCTTCAATTACCTTTTCAGATTCTGGTTCATTCACAATCACCAATTCTTGTTCGTCTTTTTTCCTTTCAACATCATGGAAATCTCCCAATATCCATTGTAGTTCTTCATTCTCATCTTTGGTTAATTCCTCATCTTCGTCCCAAATTATTACCTCAGTTAAGACGAGTGATTCTTCGTTCTCCTCCTTGGTTGGTTTCTCGTCTTCATCCCAAATTACTTCAACTGAATCCAATAATTCTTCTTTCGGCGAACTCACAAAAAATTGGGGCTCTTCGAAAAAGTCATCGTCGTCCTCTTGCTCTTCCTCTAGGAATAGGTTCGGCAGCGGCATCGGCAGTGGCGGTGACGGGCGGCGGTCCCTTCGGCTTTTGTGATGGCGTTGACATCGTCTTTGACTTTGTTCGAGCAATTTCTGAAAATTAATCCGTAATTTCTCCACGGATTTCTCCAATCGCTCCAACCGTCTTGTTTCAGACATCGTGATTTTCACAAAGTTTTGATGTTATCTCAACTTTGCTCCAGCGTAGCTTTGATGTAATCGCTGCCTTGCTAACGAAGCGTTGGTGTTAATCGCAACTTCGCTCTGATACCAATTGATGCGATCTCTTGTGTATCATAAGATTTCTTTACTGAACGTAAGAAAACTCTTCTTTATTATTTCTCTTCATAATAAAACCCTAGCACAATACGACTATTTAAAGAGAATAAAACCCTAGAATCCTAATCTAACTAGGAAAGATAATTACCTATCCTAATAAAATACTTAATATCTATCCTAAATACTAAACACACGGTAACATAAAACTACCTATACTACTTTAATTAATTAATAATAATAAAATACTAACTAAACAATAAATAAGTAATATATTAAATTATATGTCGTATCACACTCCTCCTTGAGTCGTGCTCACTACAGTGAAGTTTCCTTGCTTTGGAATCTTTAATTGTCATTAATTTATAGTATTTAATATGTTTGGGAATTATTATTATAAGGCAAAATAGATTTAGCAAATCTCTTATATATCTCCATCTCCTACGTATTTAAAAGTCCTATAACTAATGGGCTTTCTTGTGTGCAGGAGAAGTTTTGAACGTAACTATAAGAGCAGCATCAGGGTTCATTATTTGGTGTGCCTTCATCGAGAAAAAAACTTCAAGAAAATACCGAGATCATTAGTCTATGTTGATTTATCTATGCATAGTGATTGCCTATAAAGGGGGAGAAAAGAACAGTAAAGCTAGCATGAACACAGGAGGCGTTCAAACTACTGTTGCTTCAATGCATCAAACATTTGCTGGAACAGTGCAATAATACAGAGGAAGAAGCTCAGACAACTGTTGAGACAATGCATCAGACATTTGCTGGAACTATGCAGAAATATAGGGGGAGTTGATACAACTGTTGGCACAGTTGACGAGCATGTGAAGAGAAGTTGATTCTGCTAATGCATATCCTTTTATCTCGTGCTTAACTGAACAAATTGTCTTCATTGGTTTTGGAACTCGGGGTTATTTAAGGTTTACACTGTTGGCAAAATTGGTTGATAAACTGTTATAACAATATATGTGTTTGCAGCTTATTTCACTACCTTTGTTCATGCAGGTATCATATATTTAGGTGGGGCATGACCAATTAATGCAAAAGGGGGAGATTGTTAGAATGTTGGTGGGATTCTATGTCCACAATACCAAGTGGAGTCCTATGAAGATGTGTATTAATATGAGGAACATATTTTTCATAGTTATCTCATTAGATAATTTGAGAAGAAAGAAATTATCTCTCCATATTAACCATATTAACCACTTGAACGTGTGTATCCAAAATAGAATGAATTTCATCTTTTTAATATTGTGGTTGTTGTCATTAATTGGATGCCTTGTTTGACACGAGAATTAGTATTTTATCAGGATATGACTTTTTGTGATAACGTAAGCTATATTGTTCTGTATCTAATATACGTTTTTTTTTCTTTACTTTAAATTTCTCTCGGGCTTCACATGATATATTAGGATGACGTAATGCCGACGCATCTGGTCCAAACACTCCTTATACAAAATATCCACCGGACTACCGTTATCGACAAAAATTCTGGACACGTCGTATCCCGCCAGGTGCGCGGTAATTACCAAAGCGTCGTTGTGTGGGCGAGCTACTCCTTGTCTTTCATCTTCTCCGAAGGAAATGGTGGGCGAGCTTTCCTGTACTTGGTGGACCCGCTCACCTTCAGAGGCCCCACTTCCCTCTCGGACATACTTTTTCCGCGCCCGGTCCGAGTCCTCATCCGTGGGTCTTCCCATGATCATTCTGATGCGATTTCTCGGTTCGACCGAGGGTCGGGGTTGTTGGACAGGCCTAATGGCGACGTGGCCTTCCGCCTGCGTTTTTACGAACTGATCTATTTGATTCTGCCGAGCTAACCTCTCTAGCTCGTCCTTTAGATGCCCACATCCGTTGGTACGATGACCATACCGATTGTGGTACCGACAATACCCGTCGTCGCGAGAGCCTTGTAGTGGGGTCTTCTGATATGTCGTTGGCCAGCGAATGTCTGACCCTCCCTCTATCGCCATCAGAACCTGGGTTGGCGATTTATTGAGGACGGCATACCTCGTATATTGAGGCTTTCGATGCTCCGGTACCGGGTTTGCGCGAGCTACGAAATGACGCGATTGCCTAGGGAGGTTCTTCTCTTGTGGGGGACTCCTTACCGGGGTGTCATGGGCAGGTGCCACCGCGGTTTCTTCTTCTTTCATCTTCCTTGCCTCCTCCATTGCGGCATATTTCTCAGCTCGTTTCAAGAGCTCGTCATATGTTGACGGCGCCCGCTTAGCCAGCGACCTGAACAGTTCTCTGTCCCTCAACCCCTGCATGAGGGCATTAGTGAGCACATCCTGGGATAGGCCCGGTACTTCTCGGCTGGCATTTGTGAAACGACGTATAAAATCTCTCAAAGGCTCCCGATCCTCCTGCCGAACTCCAAAGAGGGTGAGAGCTGACTTCTTCTGTTTTTTAGAACTAGCGAAGTGGTCTAACAGCATGTCACTGAAAGTGTCGAAATCTCGCACTGACCCTTCCTCCAGCTGTCCGAACCATAACTGGGTTGCATCTCGCAGTGTGGTTGCAAATGCGCGACACATAATCCCATCCGAGAATCGGTGTAAATAAGACGTGGTCTGAAATCGACTTATGTGATCCCAAGGATCTGTCGTCCCATCGTACGCCAGGTGTTCCAAAGCCTGGAACCCTACTGGCAAATCCGAAGCCATGATCTCCGCCGAGAATAGGTTACCTCGCTGCTGTCTCAAAGGCGGGATATACGACCTAGCGGAGGGCCCCACATTCATTCCCCCATCCCGAAGAGGGGTTCTTGGTACCACATTGCGAGGCGGACAGACTTTAGCGATCCTTCGGCTAGCTCGATCTTGCTGCACGGCCTGACTCACCATTTTCTGAACTTCCTCCATGGAAAGGGAGAGAGGTGTAGAAGGTATTTCGACCAGGGGTGCCATTCGCCCCACCGGAGTAACCGGCGTAGCGGGGCTCTCTTGTCGGGACGTCGATGCTTCTACGGTTGCGAAGTGGACATCTGAGCCCTCTTCACCCATTTCCCTCGTTACCTTAGATCTTGTATGTCAAAAAAAAAGAGAAAAAACGAGGTAACAAAACAGAATATTATAGTAAAAATAATAAAAACTCACGTCTATAGCTCAATGTTCCCACAGACGGCGCCATTTGATGTGTCAAATTTAGTCACATAAAACAATAAGAGTTTTCCCTTTTTATTTCATTCAATAAGTTATTACATTTGACCTCAGATTTGAATATTCATACCTTGTATGTGTATAAGATTGCTAAATAGTGTAACCAAGAGAGATTGTTTAGACAATGTAAGTGACACGATTAATTGGAAATATGTCTCAAAATGTATATAAATGGCTCTGTATATGTCCTAAGAAAAAAAACATGGCCTAGTATATATACTACAACAACATGGGCCTTTTTATGGGTTTTTTGGGCTTGTTTTACATTTCCAAGATAGAAAAACCGTCAGCTTGTCTATTCAGTCATGTGGCATGTTTCTCATTGGTTCTTTTCACTGTTCCCCCATCACTTCAGGCCTGCCACTCCTCCTTTACGTCCCATATTTGTCCCCTTCTACTTTCGAGATGCCGACGTAATGCCTATATACTTTAGGCGTGGCGTTTAGCTCGAAAGTTTATCTCGCAGGTTTTAGACCTCGGCTTTTACAATAGGTGTGGTATTGGGCTGTACATATTTTGACGTGGGCCTAATTTGGGCCTAGTTATCCGGGCCTCCTTTAAACGGATTGGGACCTTTCCCCAAGACCAGATTTAGCCCGGATCATTATGGAAAGTGGAAACCGTCCGCGGAGGGAACCATGGAGATAAATTTCTGGTTGAGCTATCCCAAGTGGCAGGAGCCTTGCATTATTCTGTAGCAATGGTCGCCCGCGTCTGGAAAGGAGATTGGGTCTGTTAGACATTTTCCGCGGAAACCACTGGCAGTCAAATGCGAGGCGCATCTTGATGCAATTACTTGGGCTAGTACTAAGGGTTGGAGATCGATTATTGTGAAACGAGATTTGTTTAGAGGTCATTAGCACTCACTCTCCAAGCTGGCGAGACCTCACTTTCGTCTTTCGGAGCTTATATTGAGGAGCGCTTAGCTGTAGCTTGTTCTTTTGCCTTTCGCGATTTTTCTTGTGTTAAGCGTAGCGGTAACAATTTATCACATTCACTTGCTACAAATGTTGGTTTGGACTGTTGTGAAGGATTCACCTTCCTCAAGATTTGGTTATCTATGTATAATAAAATTATTTTTTTCCTCAATTAATTGATAATAGAAAAGAAAAAAAAATAGAGATCGGAGGGTAACCACCGCGGGTGAGTAGTTTGTGTCTCGTCAAGGTTGCTTCTATGGAAGAATTCAATAGAGATATATAAAAATAAAAAGGGGTAATTGAGCAATAAACCCCTCATATAGATAATAAATAATGATATGTCTACTCTTTAAATTTTTCTTTGTGATAACTCCTAGAAATTGTATTCTCAATTCTACCCTTATGTCAATTAGCATAATTACTCTCAATTATTCATTTTTTCTCTTTTTCCATAACAATAACTTAATTCCTAAAGATCTGCTTCCAAGTTCTTAAAAATTTCCTACCAAATAAAAAATAATTATAATTTTATTTTTTATTATTTTCGGATTATTTAGCCTTTTCTTATATATTTTTATTTTTTAATTTTTTTAATAATTTTTTTCTTAATTGTTTTTTAATTTTTTTTAAACAAAAAATTGACATTTTTTTTCTCGGCTGGTTTACAACTCCGAATATGACTATAGTCATGTTACTGCTGCTGTTTAGATCTTAAAAAGAAAAAAAAAGTAATCGAAAAATACATAAATAAATATAGAAAAATAACGAAAGAGAGGCATGGGGAGTCGACGACAACGGCGGTGGTGGCGGTGGTGAAGGAAAGAGAGTGAGAGAGGCAGCGACGGTGGTAGTGGTGGTGGACAAATCTGAAAAAAAAAAAAAGTTGAGAAATCGAGAAAGATAACGAAAAAGAGAGAAAGAGCCTTACGTGGAAATGAAGGAGGAGGCGGCGGCGACGAGCGGCGACGGTAATGGTGGTGTACAAATCTATGTGGAGACGATGGTGGTCTAAAGAGAGAGAAATTGAGAGAAACAACGAACACGAGAAAATAATTAATCACTAATCGAGTGAATCAACAATAGTCATATTCGAACCAGAGTAGTCATGTTCATGCTGCTGTTTCAGATCTGGAAAAAATCGAAAATAACGAAAGGGAGGGATGGGGAGGCGACGACAACAACGGTGAATGAAAGAGAGAGTGTGGACGTGGCTACGGTGGCGGTGGTAGACAAATCTGAAGAAAAAAAAAAACTGAGAAATCGAGAGAGAACGAAAACGGAAAATCTCCATATAACGCAGCCGACGAAGGGCGGCGACGAGGTGGGGGAGGCACCACCGCCACCACTTGTACGGAGGAGGACCTCCTGCATTAGGTTTCGACCGACCGGCGGTTGAAATGTATTGTTGGCACCGGCGGTGACGAGTGCACGAACAACGGTGGCTATGGTGAGCGGACTACGGCGGTGGTGTGAAAAATATAAAGGAGGGCGCCTGCGGGTATAGAGATCTGTAGAAAAGAAGAAAAAAAAAAAAAAAGAAGAAGAGAAATTGAGAAAGAGACAGAGATAAAATTGTATCACGTTAAAAACCTAACCACATAAGGGCACTTTAGTTTTATTATGTCTCATCAGGGGGTCTCATTAATTAAGAATGAAACTTGGATATAGACAAAAGTCTATAAAATTTAATTGGATTTAGTTTAAAATATTTTCTATTTGAGGAATGTTACATATTTCTCAAATAAAAATTAGTGAATGGTTTTTGTTAGGAAAAAAAAAAAAAATGGTCCAATTAACTGCCAAAATCAATTGAGAATTGCGTGTTGACATTTATAAAAATATTCTGTTTATGTTTTATTTTTTTTAAATGATCATATCATAAATAAATGCAAACTTCAGCAATTAGATTCATATAAGTTGACCATGACTTGTTATTTCAAAAGCTACTACGATCATGATGAAATATATGAAATAATCAAATAATTTTTTATTTTGTTTTATAACTCATCTGAATCTTCTTGTAATATTGTTACTTGTTCTTATTCTTCTATTACCGACTTATCAAGAGTACCAAATTATAGCATTAATTTTGTCGGTATTACCAATTATCATTAAAAAAAATTGATACCTAGTCTTATCAATAGGGTACAGGTGTAGGGTTCTGAGTCCCCCATTTTCTACTCCTCTTATAATTGATTTGAATTTAGTCAAAAACAAAAAAATATTAACGGTATTGGTATATATGAAATACTAAGTGCAAAAAATAAAATAAATAAATAATTTTTTTTGTCAAATATGTATTTGAAAACATTGATATAGCTACAAAATATGAATATATTATAGGAAATAAATACAGTCTCAATATTTGAAACGTTATGTTTCATTCCCAAAATTCTGGAAACGGGATTGAAATACATATTAGATTCCAATTTTCTATCTGATATTAACATCGAAAAATATTTCCTAACAATTTCGATTTTGTTTTACCGAATATTTACACTAATAAATAATAATATCAATAATATTCTTTGTATTATAGATGACTGAAAAAAAAATTCTAAATTTTGTTGGTCTGACCCAAAATTTCTGATTTTCGAACAATTTTTTTCATTAGAATTTCCGAAATTTTGATTTCTGAAGTTGTTTCTTTTATGGAAGTTTTAATCCGTAGTCAATGCAAAAAGTCCATTTTATGCCGTATATATTACAAATGGTACTCTTTGTCTATGAAATAGTAAATTTTCGTACATATAACCAATGTTATCAGAACCGAATCGGTTATGGAATCGGACAATTATTTGGGCCATAGTTTTATAGGGTCGAATCGGTTCAACTAGGTTTTTAATTTTTTAATATCTTATTATTTTATTAATTTTAATGTTTTAAAAATATTACTTTTTTATATTTTTCTAATCTTCCACTTATTATTTCATTTTTATCTACATCACCGAGTTTTTAATATATTTGTTTTGCTTACACTTTATATTTTTCCATTTTTTATTCTCCAAATCCGACGATCGGCCACCCTTATTTGACCATCCATGACAATATTTGACAATCATTCGACCACCTATAACTAGATCCGGCCACCCACATCTAAGTATGTGGAAGTTCGCTCAAATCTAGCCACAAATAACCTACTCAGTGGTGGATTGAGATGTTTTAGTCGAAAACCGGGTTCCTTGACCGACTCGCCAGTTCTCGAGTTTTACCTGGTCGAATCGGGTTTTGGTCTTTGACCCGATTATTAATTTTTTCAATTTTAGAGATCAGAACGGACCGCCTCATCGCCGGGTCGGTTCGGATCGGACCTGCCAGTCCAGACCGGTTCAACATTGCCTATAAGACTATAACCAATTGAACAAACTAATTCCTTAACAACGTAACCAAGCCTGATGTTTAAGAGCTTATAATCTCTTTTAAGGTGTTTGGTAATTTTTTTTTTTCAAAAATATCTTAAAAATTCAAAAAATAAGTTGATGGTGATCAAATAAGATCTTTTTTTTCACTAGGCCAAACTACAACACTGGCGATGAAATTTTGGGACGAAAACAAGGGTCTTGTGACGAAATAGCAACGGAAATAAATCGTCACAAGCAGGATAAAAAACGGTCGCACTGGCTCTCGTCGCAAAGGTGCGACGAAAATTTACTTTCGTCGCAAGTAGTGCGACGAAAGTACATAATCGTCGCACGATTCGTATTTTTAAACGATGTTTTTGCATTATCGTCGCAACGGTTAGCGACGCTTCTTCAATTATCGACGCTTTGTTTTTAATACTCTTACGACGAATGTTTACGGTTCGTTGCAAATTTTCAATACAAGGTTGCGACGATATGTTTTCCATATTCGTTGCTATAGGATACATGATTTTCATAGCGACGAATAACAATTTCGTCGCAAATGTATTTATAATTTTTATATTAAATCTCATTTTTATTATTAAGTGATAAATTAAACGACAAAATTAAACCTGTATCAATTGTAGTAATATATATTAACACCATATATATAAAAAAAGATCGAATCACATTAAAATTTCAAAACTAAATAATATAGCATGGTTCTACAAACTTTTATTAAAAAGGCACAAAAACTTAATCAATTTTCTAAACTCCACCATCATTGGAAGTACTAGGCATTGAGGCTCGGATCCCTTGGTGTCTTAAACTCACGAGCGAGTTCAATTTTAATTCCAATCAATCCACTTTATCATGTCTGTGTTGTAATTGCTCTTCCAATCGATCCACTCTATCATCTTTAGTTTCAATTGTTCTTGCATTAACTTCATTTGGACCTCCATTTTGTCTAACTGATGAAGGGCTCGACTCTCCAATCACTTTTTTATTTGTGCTTTTAATCCCAAATCCTTTAATCTTTCTCAACACTAATTCAATCGCAATAGAGTTGGTTGTGCTTTCATCGCTTCCATCTTGCATAAAATCTTCATAAACTCTCTCAAAATCAGCCTGAAAAAGATTAAGTACACAAGTTAAGCCATAATTTCGATAGCATAACAGTAAAAATATGAACATACCCAAAACAAAATCCATATCAATATCAACCAACATATCCAAAAAATATAAATATCCACATCCATAAAGCTCAACTACGTACCAATTAAACATATTAAACGATTAAGCACATAAGATAAATCAAATTTCGACATCATAACATCTAATATATGAGCATATATACCAAAATATCCGTATCAATACACAACAACCAAAATAATCAAAATATCCTCAAAATATCCATCTCCATATATCCCAACTAAACATACAACAACAATAACCAACTGAAACAAATAAAATTGTACTTACCAAAATAAGAAGTTGTTCAGGAGTTTCCTTTCCAGTAAAGTGTTCTTACGTATCTCCCTACTCGCCAATGGTTGGCTTAATTTCCTTGAATGTATCAATGCCCATATAGGCTTTCTAAGTATCAACCACAATAGGATATTTGCTAAATTTTTTAAACTATAATATTAAATTATAAAGTAAGTAGAAGGCATTATAAATTTAACGAAATTTAAATTACAAATTAAATCACTTACATGTTTGTGGGACCAACTACTAATACTAGTTCAATCCTAATGATGGTATGTCGAGACTTTCTTTCACGAGTCCTTGCATTTATTGAATTTGGACTGTGAAATAAAACACAAATTAATACACTTTAAGCATATATTTATATAAAAGCGGTCAATAACTAAAAAATATAGAATTTACCTACCCGTCACCCCCTGAAGTAGACATAGAATATAATGATCACATAGTTTATGCCACATTACATTTGAGCAGTTGCAAGGTTTGACGCTTGATCAAAAAAGGTCTTCCATTTTCTAGTTTTGTGATATTTCCGACGAGTATTGGCAGTCTCATTAAATCATTTCTTTATAGACTCGTTATCAGGGAGTTTCCAAGTATCCTAAGAAGCATAAAGTTTCCATTAATTTACAATAAAACAATATAAATAATTGAATAAAATAGAAGAAATTTAACTTTCAAATACCTTGAACATTAAACACATACTCTCAACACGGCCCTTTTTTTGTGCTTAGGACATGGAATACATGGATCAAAATTGTCACAAAGAGAAACCTCATTTGTAATTGCCACCGCCAACTTGCACCTTCCACGCCCCACAGGAACACCATTATCGTCGAAATCCAGTTCAACTATGCCATCACCACTTGTAGACTCAACAGGAATATCTTGCTCCGACATCACTCACCTGGGAAAGAAAATAAGATATACATAGATACAAATAAAGTGAAGACAATACTTATTATAGGAAAAATAGAATTTGAGAAGGAGATAAATAAGACGTAATAGAAACCCCCATTGCTTATGGGTTGATTATCATTGATTATAAATAGTGAAATATTAGAAGGTAATAGAGTTTAATTAGGTAACTAAATCATAACTAATTTAGGTAACTGAATCATACTAGAATCCTAATATTACAAGAGTTCTATAATATAATATACTCTAACATGCTCCCACAGTCAAAATGTGACGAACGTTATGATTGGACAATCACTTGCTAACAATCACGCGGTCGGAACGAATAAACACCAAACGTAAAGACTGGACAAGAAGCCGCGAAACACAGGGCAAGAGAAATCCTCTGCAGAAATATCTGCCCAATTGATAAAAAAAAAATTAATAATAACTTTTTTTTTTGTTTTTCTGAGGGAGAGAAGAGATGATATGCACGAGAAAAAGAGAGATATGAGAGGAGGAAGAAGAATAATTAAAAGAATGATAGAGAAAAAACGAGAGATAAGAGAGATTAACCGACTATGACAATGGAGTGGGACTCTTGTCACATGAAGAAGAAGATGTCAGAAAAAAATATATAAGTTAAAAGAGAAGAGTACCACCACCAGGGGAGAGAGAAAATTGAAAATTAAGACGTAATAAAAAGAATAGAATTGGAGAAAGGGAGAATTAAGACGTAATAGTTCTACCCCATTGAGTTATGGGTTGATTTGCATTGAATATACTTTGATGAAGAACGCCTTGAATTTGATGAAGAACTACTTGAATATTGTAGAGAGAAATTTCTCCTACGGTTTTTCTTCTTCTTGAGTTCTCTCCTTGAATTGTGTAGGGAGGGTCCCTATTTATGTGGTAGAATAAGATTCCTACATAAAGTCTTCTTGATGACGTGGCGCGATTTAATTGGCCTTTATTAAATTGATATTTATCTCTTATAACTTCGAAGAGAAGAAACAATCCTATTGGCCAATAATTAATTGATATTTATCTCCATGACTTGTCTTACAAGACAAGATATAATTTAATTTAGACAAAATTTAATTGGATAATTTAATTAATCAATTAATTAATTTTATGCGTCTAAAATGGCGTTGACTTTTTTTTCTTCGATTTATTTTATTTTCACGCCGTTGACTGATCAACAAAGTAAGATTATTGTGAATACAATACAATAATCTTATTGTCTTACATAATAATACTAATGTGTTCACAATAAGATTAAATATTTTTATCTTTTTTTTTAGCAATTTTTATTTTGAAAACAATCAACATTGTAATATTATAGTGCAAGCAGTAATATTACAGTGTGAGATAGTAATACTGCATGCCAAAACAATAATAATAATATTACACAATAAAATATTGTGTTAACAACAATATTACTATCTGAAACAATAATATTGCATGCATAGACATTAATATTAGTGTGTTAACAATATTAGTATTGTTTGAGACAGTAATATTCTTAACAATAATATTCAACAATATTACTAAGTAACATCAATATTCATGTCTGAGACAGTAATATTACAATCCAATACACTAACGTTATTGTTAAGACAATAATATTATTTTGTTAACAATAGTATTAGTTTATGGCGGTCGGAAAAAAAAAAAATCAACGCCGGAGATCGGCGGTTAATGGCTACAACTTCAGATTTTTTTTTTTCAAAATTACAAAACAAAAGGTCAACATTAGAGATCGGTGGTCAACAACGGCTGACCGGCGATGACGATCAAAATTGAATTAGGTGTAAAAATTGGTTAATTAGTAAAATTTGGGCTAAATTAGGTTTAAGTCGTGAAATTGTGGTGAATTAGAGTTTCAAGTAGTTAACGATAATTTTGGTATATATGAGAGAATTTTCTTTAGTTGCATGTAAGTGTTGATTGGTGGATATATCTGCAAGACAAAAGTTGGATGTCACATTTTTAATGAAGTGCTCTTGTCATAGTTTAACGCAACTCGTTTGGGCTACCTCATAAATCTAGAGATCTTTGGAGCCATTTCACATTGGGCATGTGCATCGTGCACCTGCAAAATGTGTAGGAGGAGGTGCCCTCGGCGTTAGCACTCCAAGGCCCAAGTTAGAAGATCTCAACGAATCATAGTCAAATATGTAACACCCTCCATGAATATTAGTTAAAGAAGAAATATTTTAGTGGTCTTTAAAAATTTCTAATCGATTTGAACCTTGAGAAACCCAAATTTCGAATTTTAAAAGTGTTTCTCCTTAAAATATAACCCACAAATCAAAGTTACGATTTTCATAAAGAGTGCTACTTAAACATCATCGGGGTTTGAAAAGAAAACTTGTAAGACAGCGGAAGGAAAATAAACTTGATTTAAATACCCCCGTTTAATAGACTGGATTCCTAAATCAGAGTAAAATAAAAATCTCCATTTTTACATAAGACCTTTTTATAGACGAAAGTGAAAACATGGATCTTTTACGAAATCCGGGTAAGACGTGCAAGGCCGCAAGGTTCGTGATTCCTCAAACTCCGCTCCGCTGCGCACTCTGATTACTTCGAGAACCTGAAAAAGGGAAAGTCGCATAAAGCGTGAGCCCAACCACTGGCTCAGTAAGAACATGGGCCTGACAATACTCACGCCTCTCTCAACGTGTCTCTCACGTCCTATAAGGGTCCTAAAGTCCTCGTCTCTATGTTCTTTTGTATAGGGATAAGCCTAAAGCTTTTACTATATCTTCTATATTCAATTTATTCAATCACATACATGGAAGCACATAACATCACATACGAATACAATACTTTTATTCTTCAAAACTAAGAACCACGAAGGAATATTATCATAACACATAGTCGAACATATAGTAGCTCAACACATATAGACATATAATGCTGTTTACCTCAATCTCGGTATATTGGACACACAGTCCTCTTTCGTATTATACGGATATAAAATCCTTATATTGCTCGCGGACATAAAGTCCTTTTAGTATCAATTTAACACTTTACGCATATAAATGAAATGCAACAGGATCCTTATCAGAATCCCAACGTGACTATCTAAACATCAGGTAATATACGACAACACACGGGTCACAAAAGCACATAATTTGCACACAAATCACTTTAATATGCACAATGACCAAAATGCACGTGAATGCAATGCATGAGAAAAATATTTTTCAATTTATCGGATCCGTGGAAAATTAATTTCTGTACTCAAGCAATAAACTATAAAGCGTTTCGAGCCCGTTCTGTTTAAACCACGTATTTCATCCTAGTTGGATACCGGCCTACCGTATCCCGTTTATTCACTAAGCACTAACTTTTGTGCCTAGCAATAAACTATACAGCGTTTCGATCCGGTTTCTATTGTGGAACAAACCACTCCTTTTGAACTTTTATTGGATACCGGTCCACCGTATCCGATGTTTATTCTGCCAAGTATTTCGTTAATTTTTCATACTTTCAAGAGAATACGTAATATACTTGAGACCTTAATCAATAGTTTAAAAAATCGTTTTCGTTTACCATAAAATCATGAAAAAATTTCGTTTCTCGTTTACAATAAAAAAATCGTGAAAAACACATTTTCGTTTTCACTAAAAATCGTAAAAAAATAAAATATCCATTTTCGGTTACCGGATCCGTGAAAAAATAATTTCCATACCTGGCCAATAAACTGTTACGAGCCCGTTTCTTTAGTGGGATCAAAACACTCTTTAACAATATCTGGATACCGGCCCACCGTATCCCGTTTATTCACTCAAGCATTCCATTAATTTTCCAAACTTTCAAAAATATGGGCTATGCATGGACATGAATGCTAAGACCAAAATGCTCTTACCGTTTAATCACCACAAATAACACACAAATATGTCACAATAAAATAACACAAAGATTTACTAACCAAATACTATCACATAGACTAATTAAGTCACACATATGGTACAAATATATACACGGCTGTACACACACACACGGCAATGATATCAAATCAAGCGTAGCACAATAAATACGAATCACGTAAAGATTATTGTTCATCCACACACACACACATATAGCTGTACACACCCCCACATATATTTATAATAGTATATTTTATATTTACATAAACCATGGATCGGAGTTTTTTTTACTCGACGACCACGTAGGTTGCTATAGAGGTAGTATACATATATAAGCCATGGATCGGGAATTATTCCTACGACCACGCAGGCTAGATATATAATATATATTCGTATATATAAAGTATGACATATAGTATATACTATATAGCATTAACGAGTATAATTAACCAATAAGTTCACAAGTAATCTCAACCATTTCCAATACTTACCCACGCACGGCACACACGTAGTGATCTCAAACCAACATACTAAATCAATCAAAACATATAGATAGTAGCACATAATGACTTAAATGAATAGTTCATGACCATAACTATAATTAAATTAAACTTATCCTATTAGCTTAATATTAGCTTAGTTCTTCTATTAACTAACGATCAAAATTTTAAATCCATACTTCTAAACATACTTTGTAGTTCAAAATAGTTTATTTTAGAAAATCGGACAGTTTCGGTATTTCAACTTTGAAAATTCATATCTCTTAGCACCTAAATCTAAAACACCTGAAAATTTCACGCGATGTTCATCTATAAGTATATTCTACCTGGGTAAAACAGTTTATCAAGAGTCTTAACAGTTTAAGAGAAATAATTAATTTAGTGCAGTCACACAGTCAAATTTCCAGAATAGAGCAATCAACTTTAAAATTACCAAATAATTCATACCTTTAACCAAACACTGTGAAATTTTGCAGAGAAGACGTTTAACAAGTCTATAATCATATCCAAGTAAATAACGCAAGTCAAATTAGTATAAATTCATGTTAAACACATAATTCATAAATGACTCAGAAACTGTGCAGTTTCAGAAAATGGTTCATAACTTACTCAATATAAATCCGATTTATGTATAATTTATATCAAAATGAAGCTAACCGAAAGATCTAGACTACCATGAAATACCATGAAATTTCATAATTTTATCTCAGGGATTACCCGATCAGACATGCAATACAAACAGAGGCTACGAAACTGAAATTCAATTAGTACTCATCAAGAACTTTATCTTCTAAAGCCCAAACTTAAAACCACAAACATATAATTCATTAAGACACATATAATTCATATTAATTAGGTTATTATTTCAGTAAAGACCAAGAATCCCTTACCCATGAAAATCAAAGGCTAAGGAAGAGAAGAAACCAAGAATCCATGGAGTTTTTGCTTGGAAATCTTTGGGCTTGCCATGGTTGTTATTGGAGAGTTTTGGAGCTGAGTTTTGAGAGATTATATGGTTATTTCTTTGAGTGTATTTGGGAATCTCGAATTTAGGGAGAGAGAGGCATTTAGAGAGGATTTTAGAAGAGAAAAATAGGGACTTTTATAAAGAATCTTGAAGGTTTTGAAGTGGAAGATGAATTCTTCCATTTGGGGAGTGTTTGGACGAGATGGAGGGGAGAGAATGAGAGATTTTGGCAGGTGTTTGTGTGCTGAAAATGGTGAAGATGAAGAGGCTATTTATAGGAGAGTAGAGGGACTTACTCGCAATATTGGAAACAAGGGGGTGTAGATTGTAATTAGGGGAACATGGACACTTGTAAACACATCACAACAAGCATTATACACTTGGCATACTCAACACAAACACACGGCCCTTTCATAACACACAAGCACATGCACACACAAAATTTATATCTATATGTATTCATATATATAATATTAAAATAATAGGAAGGGGAAATTGGGAGGATATTCCTCATGTATTCACGAGAGAGAGAGAGATAGACTTTTATGACATGTATGTCACGTACATCCACATAATTATGCACATAGAACATACATACATATATATACAAACACAAATAAATTCTTACATATATAAGCAAGCACATATAATATATTCAAGCATATATCACACATTCATAATCAATCACATGTCATATATTATATATTAGCATAGGATATATATATATATATATATGCATGTATTAGAAATGAATAATGTAATTCACTTAATACATGTAGTTTATAAAATAGATATATATGTCACATAATTGAAAATCACGCAATCAATTATTTAAATAAAACCATGGCGTCTACTTCTAAAAATACTATAATGTATCTAAATCACATAAATTACTACTTGATTCATGAGATGCAAGTATATTCGTATTTATTTTATTTTAAATATAATCCTCTATAAATGCTTATGAAAATGTGGGGTGTTACAAAATATCACAGAGAGTAAGTGTTACGAGAGGAAATAGTTAAAAAATGTTACAAAATATGCGGTTTAAAGGGGGAAATCAGTTGTTCAATTAATTAATTAATTAATTTATTATATTTATTAATATTATTTATTTTAAGAGAAATCAAATCGTGAATAGGTCCGAACCGGCTCGAAATCGTCAGTGCATCGATTCAAAAACTAGCCTTGAACCATCCACTACACATGTTAGTTATGGTTCATATATTTAAGCTTCAAGAACCGGCGGTTTCGAACCGTGATCTAGTTGTTTCGAAAAATGAATTGATGTTTTCGAACGGTGCTCCAAGTGCTTCGAACTGTTAACCGACGGTTTCGAATATATAGTTTTGTCTATGCGTGATTATATAAGTGTATAAATATATCGGACGTTAAAGTAAATTCATTTACTCTCTCACAAGTGAAGTACTCGAGAAAGAATTCATTTTTTATTTTTATTTTTTTCCTCGTTAGTCCAAGTTTCTAACACATTGATGAAATGCAAGATAAAAATTCATCATTCTTCATTCATGTGTTTCATCAATTTAACATCTTCCCATTGTATTGGGTTGTCGCCTCCGATAGATTTCATTCTAACTTCCATTGGCCGAGATGAGAAACTATGGGTCAAATTGGGGACCGAAAAGGGGGACCGAAAAGTTAAAGGCCTGAAGGAATTAGTGCAGTTCAACTTGGGGGAAGACATGGGGAAAAAAATGGGATTGTGGCGTGATTGAGGGGGTACTGCAGAAAATATGTTGAATAAGGAAGAAATGAAATTCACATTTGTGTAATGATTTTCGATTGGAAACAAAAATGTGTAGAGGATTTATAGAGAAAGATCATTTTACGAGTTCTAACCACCTCCATGAACCTGAAAAAAGTTGAGAACAGTCTTCTCTACACTACTAACTTTTCTTTTTTTCTACTTTGAAACTTCATAATTATAATTCTGGTTTGAAGCAAGGACGAAAGAATGAGAGAAATAGAAATATTCCTTTTTGCTTCTGAATTAAAGAGGAAATCTTTTGAGACAGTATTACGCGTGGAGCGTACTCTGTAGGATATTTCTAGCGTCAGATAGCTCAAAAATTAGTTGAGGTCAGATATCCCTAAATTACCATTCATTTTAAATAGATTATATATGAACCGTTGATTCAAAAAGTGATTTTGTGTTCCCTAAAAAAATGAATAAAATAATAATTTGAGCAATTACGCATCTATTCTTTTCTCTTAAAATTATCTATTACATTAAAATAAAATATTCTAATATGGAATAGTCTGATTTACCCTCAAACAAGAAACATTTCATAAAACCAAGTGTACCAATTATTAAATAATTGAATTAAAGAAAGAAAATCCTTATAAAAAAATGTTGAACCACGATTCTTTACATTTTTCAAAATTTAATATATTACATTTGTTAATATTTAATTAACATTATTTAATAATAATGAATATTGAAAATTAATAATTTATAGTGGAGATTATATTGAATATATTAATTAATAATAGATGTTTGGGAGTACTAAACCACGATTCTTTATATTTTTTTAAATTTAATATATTGTTATGAAATATTTTATGTGGATGTCCAAATGAAGAGACACCATCACATGAAATGTCAACAACATTTAGCATGTATATTTAAAGGATTTTAAGTCCCTTTAATCTTGTTGTAACTCATGACCTTATAGTGGAACGAGGTGCCAGAACATGAGCTCGAAGGTAAGTTGATTCTGAATACACGATACAACATCACACAACCTTACAATGTATTAAACTCCAAATTTTTATCGCAGATTAAAAGCTGTAAATACAATAATGATTCTTGTTAAAATGACATGTTTATTTTATGATATAAAAGTTAGCGGTGGGCGGGCTATCGTTGTCAATTTGTTGGATTCGTTAAGAAACATTAGCTTGATTCTAGGTTGTCTTAGTCGATGTTCCATATCAAGGAAACTAAATGCATGAATTATGCTAACTTTTCTTTCCCTAATCTCTTAAAACACGGCACTAAGTATTCTAATGCGACGAACATAAACATGTCGGTTAATCGGTTGTTGTATGTTGTAGCATCATATCTTGTGACATACGAGTGTGTTTTTCCTTTTGTTTAGGGAGGTTAAGTATTACTTCAGAAAACAATTTTACATGCATATTTTTTTTCTTCTTTTTTTTAATAGGAATTATGCATTATTATTAATTTTAATGGTAAGTTACATTATCACAAGACAATATAAGCTAGGCCTGTGTACATTAGATGTCTGGGACTGGTCCAATTTTGTTTCTTGATTATATTATTATTGAATATATTAAGTAAAGACTTGTATTGAATTGCATTGTAGTAATGTACATTGTCTTCATAGCATATATATATATATATATATATATATATATATATATATATATATCCTTATATTTAAAGGATATATATAGTACTATATATATGGCACTATGTAATGTGCTTTGGACACACTTGAAGAGATGGAATAACATATTACACATTCTCCCTACTTTCTTCTCTACTTCTTCTATATTCTTTATTAATTTCTCAACATATATTACATTTGTTAATATTTAATTAACATTATTTAATAATATTAACCTATTTATATCGATTAAATCATTTTACACTGAAATATTATATTATATATATTTATTGCTAGATATTGAATAAATGTTTACTTTGTCCTAGTAGTTGGTACTACCGTTTCCTTGTAATAGCCCAAGTTTGACTCTTAATTAAAGTATTTTTGGTCAAAACTGACCAATTAAATTTGGGTCTCTGGATTGGGTCCTTGGGCCGGGTCCAACGGGTTGACCAGTCGGGGTGGGTCTGGATCACCGGTCAACGGAGCGGTCGTCGGGTTTGGGCCAGATCCGGTGCTCCCTTTAAAATTTGTAAAGGGCGTTGTCTTCAATTTTTTTATTATTTTTATTTTTATTTTTTAATAACTATTTAAATTGAGAGAGGTGGCGATTTGGTAACTTCAGAGCTTAGATCAAACAATGTTAATGTCAAATGTCTGACAACTAACAACGAGAGCCACACATTGAGATTATTCTTCAAGTGCATGGGGCAAATCGATGCAATCGGGAGTAGAAGGGGGTAAAGTGATACGGAACCAAAGTACATGGGGGAAAGTGTAATTTACCCATTTGTAAAAGAAGATACTAAGGGTAATAAAGACGTTTTAATAAGCATTATTACTTTTTGTTTTTTAATATGAAATTTAAAATAATAAGGATATTTAGGTCAATACACAATGAAAATTAAAATATTATTTTATTTTGGACACATGTCGATCAATGAGACCCTAACTGACCTTGGACAAAAATTAGCGTTCGGACGCTAGAAAGACCCTACTATGTATATATGGTATATATAAGCCTCCCTAAAGGTGGGACATACATTAACACTCCTTAAACAAAAAGTGCTCTTGTGCTTCATGTATATACAGTATACACCCTAAAATTTGATCTACATGTATTAAACTATATCATAAATATATTTTGATCTTAATTAATATAATTTTCTTATTAATTTAAATTTAAATATTATGTTATCTTAATTATTTATACCATTTTATCACAATTATGTTATTACTGTATACATCTGGCTAATTTTTAGCATCTGGCTATTAGTATGAAAAATATTCATCCAACAAAGCTAATATTTTTTTGAATATTTTATAAATGTTGAGAAACTAATAAAAAATATACAAAAAGTTGAGAACAAGGTAGGGAGAATATGTAATATGTCATTCCATGTCTTCAAGTGTACAAATACATTACATGGTGATCTATATATAGCACTAGAAAGACCTCTCAAAGGTCATGTGTTACAAGACCATAATGAGATCATCAATAGGTATTATGGTGTGATAATGGTGGGATTGATGATGCTTGATGATGGTGAGTAATGATTGTCATCCACACCTTTAAGAATTCATAACACTACCCCTTGGATGTCCACCATCTATGGAATATGCCTCGTTAAAAACATTGTTACGAAAACTCATTGGGACAAAACCTAATCGAAGGAGAAAAGAGTGTATATCATATGAAACTTGCGAGCGTGAGACTGCCTCGTTAAAACATTGCCAAGAAAAACTCATAGGGGCAAAAACTTAATCGAAGGAAAAAAAGTACAGTGTTATAAGTAGTGCTCATGCTCCACTTGATTTCGACATATGAACTTTTAATCATCTTCTAAATAAAGTTGTTGACAATACTCCAATATATGAATATGATAATTTATTCTTTCATTATATTCTCGAGGGC